ACAACCTCAGGCGCTGAAGGGGCTGCAAGCGATAGTCACGGTGAGAGCAGCAGCAGCGTCTTTCTCCCTCTCACTTCCCCTCGCAGGCGCTCGCGCGTTCAGTTCCCAGCATGGCGAACCTGGTCGGCATGCTCGGACTTCTCTTCTTCATCTTCGGAGTTTTGGGTCAGAATTGAAGATGCTGGTGATGACGATGATGATGATGATGATGATGGAGATGGAGATGATGATGATGATGACGACGACGACGACGACGACGACGACGACGACGATGATGATGATGGAGATGATGATGGAGATGATGATGGAGATGATTCAAATGATGACAATGATGGAGGTGATAATGATGGAGATGATGATGACGATGACGATGACGATGACGATGATGATCTGATGACGACAATGACAATGATTCAGGCGTGACACTGTTTGGGAACATGTGCATAGAGGGCGATCAGACGTTTGCGGGATTGGGGGTAAGTTGAAGTGAGAAAGAGAGGAGGAGGAGGAGGTGACGGGGCATGCAGGCTGTGAGATGTTTGTTCACCACCGACGACAATCTTCTGTCAAGACACGCGCACTTTCAGGTTTGCGTCTGCACTTCATTACTTCTCACCATGTTGACATCTACCTGTCATTGTGAATGTCCGTCCCTCCTTTTCCTGACTTTCTCTGCAGGGCGTTGGCTGGGCTCTGTTGAGTTTATTTCGCATCTCCACGGGCGACGCTGTAAGTTGGCTGAGTATGGATGATGATGATGATGATGATGATGATGATGATGATGATGATGATGATGATATCAACAACACCATCACACCAACAACATCATCAAGATGTATCATCCCTTGTTTCAGACATTGCTCGTCACGTGCATCACATCAGAAACTGATTTCTTGACATGCCTCACATCGTCTGACTTTTCCACCTCAACTAATGTTTCTCTTCTCTCTGCTTCCCGCTGCTGACCCGTCGGAACAGTGGGGAGACATCTTGACGAGCCTGCAGCTGGAGGCCGGAGGAAGACAAGTGACGGAGGAGACGTGGCAGTACTTGTGGTGATGAGAACAGAGCGAATGACCTGTTCTTCTCTCTCTCTTCCGCACTCCTGCTCGTCTTGTCTATCGTGACTTCTTGTCGTTGCCTTGATGTCTCCCAATTCCTACCTTTGACTTCTTCCCTCACATGCTGATGTGAATTTCCTCTGTTGACACTTTGGCTCATCCTTTTTGCATCAGCGATCTATTATCCGTGGATACCTCGACTACCGTCAACGGTGAATGAGATTCTTATTCAATTCTTGGCAATAATCTTCTCTTCCTTCTCTTCCTCCTCCTCCTCCATTGCAGAATTGCCGTCATACAACATCTCGCGATTTGATCGGAATCTCAGCCTGGAGATAGGTATTTCCTCTCCTCCTGTTCTCTCCTCTCCTGTTCTCTCCTCTCCTCTCCTCTCCTCTCCTGTTCTCTCCTCTCCTGTTCTCTCCTCTCCTCTCCTCTCCTCTCCTGTTCTCTCCTCTCCTGTTCTCTCCTCTCCTCTCCTCTCCTCTCCTCTTCCCCCCTCTCTGTCACTTCTTTCCTCGTCTTTCCCCTCCTTTTCTTTCCCTTGACTTGCTTGCAGCCGAACTTTCTGTTCGCAAGTGGAAATCTCTCACAGAGGGCATGGAGCAGGACCGCGACTGGTACCTCCCTTGTTATGGCTCCTCCTCTTGCTGCTGCTGCTGCTGCTGCTGCTGCTGCTGCTGCTGCTGCTGCTGCTTCTCCCTCGTTCTACTGCTGCTTCTCCCTCGTTCTACTGCTGCTCCTTCTCTTCTACTTGCTCTTGCTCTTGCTCTTGCCCTTGCCCTTGCTCTTGCTCTTGCTCTTGCTCTTGCTCTTGCTCTTGCTCTTGCTCTTGCTCTTGCTCTTGCTCTTGCTTCTCTCTCAGCTCTTCTACAGGCCATTTCCTGCCTCTACGCCGGAAGCCTTTCAGTGGATTCAGCTTGCCAGGATGTCGCTACCCTCCTGCCTGACCGATTCGGAGGCCTTGTACCTTGAGGTGAGTGACGGGGAGAGAGGAGGAGGATAGAGAGAGAGGAGGAGGATAAGAGATAGAGAGATAGAGCGAGAGCGAGAGGGAGAGACGAGGAGGAGAAAGAAAGAAAGGAGGAAGGAACTGAGAATGAAGAGAAGGAGCAGGAAGGGATTGGGAGGGAGATGTCGACGTCCGAAGAGTGAGTTGAAGACGAAGTGAAGCTGTAGATGTTGTCGTCGCAGATGCCGCGCTGATGTTGGTGGCGTAGTTGCTGTGGACTGTGAAAGCCCTGCCTGCAGCTCGAGCACATGTGATGTCAATGGGACGACAGTGCTGATTGACTG